CGCGAGCGGCGCGCCGATGAGCAGCAGCGGAAAGAAAAGAAGTTCCTCAGTTTATCCTGCCAAAAAATAAGGCGAGGCGCTGACTTTGCGCGCGCAATGATTCCGCGCAATGCGACGTTTTCCGCGCGCCCGTCGGAACCATTCCGCGGAACCCCGTAGATTCTGTCTGTTCCCCAGCGAAGATTCCGCGGGGTTGCGCGGCATCCGCGCCCCCGCCAAATGGATGCCGCCAGGTTTCGCGCGACCCCCTAAAAAAAAAACATCCGGATTCCGCGCGCGCCGCGCATCCGTCGGACTGGGCCCGCGGACTAGTCGGGGCCTCTTGAGGGGCTTCCGCGACATCTGGCGGGCCCGTGCGTCCGTCGGACAGACGCCGCGGGATTCCGCGCGGCTCCACGGCGCCGCCATTGTTGACTGCAGCGGGTTCAGCGCGTCCGCCGGGGAGAATGCATGAGATTCCGCGGATTCCGCGGGGGGGCCCGGCGCGAATTCCGCGGGGCCCTGCAGGTTCCGCGCGTCCGTCTGCAAGATGCCGGGAGCATTCGTTGATTCTGAGCGGGCCCCGAGCAGCCCTAGCAGATTCCGCGCTGCTCCGCGCGACTCCGCCGCGTCCGCGCATCCGCCGTGAGAGATCCGCGTGATTCAATGCGGATGCCTGGCGGAATCAATGAGATTCCGTGGGTTCCACGGGCGGAGGCCAGCGCCGATTCCGCGAGATTCTGCCAGCGCCGCGCGCCCGTCGGCGCGACCCCGCGGGGCCGCGCGGATTCCGCGCGGCCCCCTAACAGATATTTCGCGGCGCCCCGTGGACTCCGCGCGTCCGTCGGACAGATTCCGCGAGAGCCCGTGGAATCTTTGGCCCCCCAGGCAGAGATTCCGTGGATTTCGCGCATCCGCCGGGGGGGGCCCGCGGGATGCTGCGGATTTGTTTGATTCCATTGCGAAATTCAATGGCGTTCCGCGGGCCGCGCGCATCTCTCGGGAAGGGTGGCTGAAACCACCAGGCCCCGCGCAAGGGCCCGGCGCAAATTCCGCGGTGTTCCGCGCCGAGGGGTCCAGCGGGATTCCGCGGAATCGGCGCGATTCCCTTGCGACGACCCCCCGGGGTCCCGCGCGCCCGCCAGATAGGTTCATGCGGCGCTGACCCCCGTTGCGCGAGCTCCGAAACTCTCGCGCCCCGCGCCCGCCGGCCTCCCCCCCGTCGCCCGCCGGCCTCCGCCGGGGGCGCTCGCGACAGGAGCAGCGGCGGCGGCGGGGACATCGGCGACGGGGCGGGGGGGGGGGCGGCGCGAGGAGACGGGCCACCGGCGGCGCCAGCAAAAGGGCGGCGCGAGGAGAATCGGCGTTCACGCAGGCGCTGAGGTTTCAAAGAAGGCAGGGGGCTCCGTAGAAGCCCGCCCAGCCTCTCCGGTGCTCGAGGTCCTCTCGCAGGGTCGACCCCGCCGACCGGTTCGCCGCCTTCCCCCCTCGCGCGCCGCGCAAACATTCCTTTCCAAGACTGGGCGCGCGCCCTCGAAACAAAGGCCCCTGGAAGATTCATGGGGGAGCCTGCTTGCTCGCGGGGGCCTCCATCTTTCATGTCGGCCCTGCGTAAATGCCGGCTTTCCCATTGTGAAAGACGGAAATGCCCCATCCGCGCGCGCCGAGCGAGCAATCGAAATTTGGCGCTTGCGGTCCTCCATCCAAACGGGCGTCGCAACGTTGCGCCCCCCGCAATCGCACGCGGAGATGCATCAGGCGAGAAGCTCGCCATCAAAGAAACAAGCGCCCGTCGCCCGCGCGACCGAAAACGCCCCAAACGAAGCGCGCAGACAACGCGCAACAGTTCGAGCGCTAGCTGCCACGGCAGAGGGCTACAACTAATCTGGAACGCATCTGGGGATGCGAAACACGGGGAACAGTTGGTTGCCAAAACAGCAGGAACAATCCGCATACTGCAAACTGGGAATGGAAGACAACTTGGAACACGCTATATCCATCTCGTATAAAACAACTACAAGCGTGGTCACTATGGTTCATATGTTGTTCGCATGTGCCATGTGTTGCCTACGTCTCGCATGCGATTTCGTCTTGGTTTCATCCCTTTTGCAGGCTTCACCCCCCTGCACTTTCGGGCTTTGTTTGATTGTTGTTCATGTTTCCACTCGCGTCCACACTGGTCTCAAACTTTCACCGTGCGCCCATTTCCCCCCGCCGTTCCAAATCTGTCCACGCCTTTGTTCGGCCTTGTTCTGCGCTGCCAATTTCCGGGGAACTCGCGCTCGTACAACTGTTTTTCCATGGAACCACACTTTTGCCATGCTTCGAATTTCCCCCGCCCAGCGAACGGCCCACCTTCCCGGGGCGTCGCAAACGGAGAGCGCCCGAACCCACGCGCGACGCCCACCGTCGCAGTGGCCGACGAGATGCCCGGCGCGCGCAGCCGCCGCAGCAGCGTCTCCTGGAATGTCAACGCACCCTCTCGGGCCCGTCCACCGCGAGGCCCATGCCCCCGATCTGGCGACAGATCCGCGGGCCCACGCCGACGGCGAGCTTTGCGCCGCAACGCCCCCGTGCGACGCGCGCCGCGGATGCATCTGCGGACCGCAGAGCCACGCTTCCAATTGCGCTTGTCCAGCCCCGTCGCCCCGGAGTGGCGCCGCCGCCGGCGCGTGTTGAACTCCCCGAATGCTGTGTAATCTTCTGAAGCGCCTTCAAGCTGGCCTCGGCTGCGATCGCAACAGACTCCGCGCGCAGCCCCCTCCAGTTCCAGCCGGGCGACGCCGCGGCGCGAACTCTGCGCGCTCGAACTGCTGCTCGTCAACCTCGTCGTCCACGTCGACGTTTCTCCTCCTCCGGGGGCGTCGGCGGCCGCCGTCGAACCGGCGCGGCGGGCCCATCGCAGGTGTGATCAGCCCCGACGGGGTGGGGCGCAAAGGCGCCGCCTTGCGACGAGGGGCCACGCCGCCAGCTTGCCTCCCGCCCTGGTCGCCGACCAGGCTCGACGCGCGAAGTTGTCGCGGGCGGGCGACGGCGGCGCTGGCAGGACCTCCATCGGGCCCCCCATCAGGCGCCAACCTACGCGCCGGGCCCATCGCGAGCGCTGTCGGTTCCGGCGGCGCGGAGTGCAGCGGCGCCGCCTTGCGACGCGGGGCCTTCTCCGTCAGCTTGCCCCGCGCGCATTGGTCGCCCCGATCAATGTCGACGCGCGCGAAGTTGTTGTGGCCGAGCGGCGGCGGCAGAGGCAGTTCCTCCATCGGCGGCCGCTGGTGATCGCCGAAATCCACGGGCACGGCTGCCGCCGACGTGACTGGGCCGCTGGAAGTCCTTCCTGATCTCCCCCGTCCTCGCCACATGCGACGCAGCAACAGTGGAGCGCCCTCGTCGAGGGCCACTGCGCTGCCCAGCCACCGCGCGCGCAAGCCGCCAAACTTCCGAATGCTTCTGCGGTCGCCAGGCCTCGCCGATTTCCGCCGCCAGCTGCTCCGCATCCTCGGCTAGGTGCTCGCGCCGCGAATGGCGAAGCCTGCGAGAGCACCTGGACAACGCCATGCTGAAAGCTAGATCGCCCCAGACCTCCTCTCGCGCAAGTCGCCGCTGTCGGAGAAGCGTGCTCCGTATCTGCTGATAGTGCCGCACGAGAGAAACAGCATCGCGATTCTTGGCAAAGCGCCGCACCGCCGTCGAATGCGCAGTAGTCGCCCACAGAGCTCACACTGCACCAGACGCTCTCATGAAGAGCGGTGGGCGCCCTCGGGGCGCCAAGGTCGACGACGTAGTAGAGCTTAAGAAGCACCGGAACATGGTCCTGCAGGCCAGCCTTGCCGACCAGCTTCAGCGCCAATTCGACGTCCGAGATGCAACACATTTGCCAACCGCCTTGGTCTTCGAAGACCACGATGTGATCGATCTCGATCCTCGAAGACCACGATGTGACCTACGCAGTTGGCGGGGTGAGCGCCGAAGTACGTTGGCCGAACCTGTGGGCCGAGATCGCCACCACCCCCGCGTGTCTCTCCATGAGCTCCAGCACCTGGTCCGGCGCATAGTTCGGGTCGTCTCTGGCGCAGGGGCCGAACGACGGAGATCGCACCCGCTCAACAGCGCCCCCAGGCTGCACCCTCCACCCGGGCGAATTGCTCAAATCAGGGCCCCATGGTGGAGACGACCGCCGCCACGACTACGTGAGCACCTTCTCTGGCCACCGGCGCATCTCCGCCACCGCCACTCGATATCATGCGCGCGCCGTCTGTGCATGAGACTATCGCCCTTCCCTCGTGCCACCCGAACTTGGCGGGAAATACGTCACAGGAGCCAACGCATCAAATCGACCCGATCGAAGCCTGAGCGCCGCCACTCTCCCTTGCAGGGTCGCTGGGACTGTCCGGACATCCACCACAGTACGCCTCTTGAGGACACGCTTGCGCGGCAGATGTGCGGTGCCACACGACATGGTCACATGGCTGCCAGCGAGGTAACCGCACCTCAACACGAAAGGACACTTCAAGTCTGGTGCACTTGCTGAACGATCAGGTGTCGCTTTCTCTCCTGTACTTCTGACCGCAACGATGTCCGTATTCATAAGCTCCTCAAGAATATGATGGGGGCGCTCGAGGTCGAGATCAAATGTTAACTCGTGCGCGCGCGGGGGAAGCGCCTGGGAGGGGCACTTGCAGCGAACGGAGTTTGCGGTAGTGTCCAAGCTCCCCAACCCCGAGCGCAAGAACTCCTGCATACGGGGGGCGAAGAGGAAAAAGGAGGAGGAGGAGGTGGAGGAGGAAGAGTCGTACAAGGATGAGAGGGGAGGAGGAGGAGGAGGAGGAGGAGGAGGAAAAGGAGGAGGAAAAGGAGGAGGAGGAGGAGGAGGAAGAGACGTACAAGGACGAGGGGGGAGGAGGAGGAGGAAAAGGAGGAGGAGGAGGAGGGGAGGCGGAGGAGGAAAAGGGAGGAGGGCATCCCACTCTTCCCGCCTGCCGCAGGAGGAGGGGGAAAAAGCAGCGGCAGCAGGAGCCCGCCCCGGCCTCCGAGCCGCCGCGCCGCTGCGCCGCCGGCGTGTTGACCTGGTCTCGGGCGCCCTCCGCCCCGCCAGGAACCCGACGCTTTTACTCGGGGGTAACCAGGGCTCGAGTTAAACAGTGTTTTCCGTTTCCGTTTTGTGTTCGTCATCCCTAGTTTTGTCTTCGTTCCACATTTGCTGCAAAACGAAGTCAAAACGAAAACAGTCCACGAAATTGCCAAAACACCGCTTAGCTCGAGCCCTTGGGGTAACCAAGAAGGGGGCGTCCGAGAGAGGGTTCGCAAACCAAGGCCCGAGGCATGTGCGCGGACGAAGGGGGGACACCGCGGAACGCATGGAAAGAGGAAGAGGGGGGGGCCATATCCGGGGCGATGTCACGGCCTTCGCCATGATACCCACCTCCCTTAGTAATCCCCCCCGTCTTTGCCGTCCCCGCTATACAGAAGGAGGCAGCTTCTGGGAGGTCGACGCAAGAAGGATGAATGGCGATGAGCCCCGATGAAAGGCCATTGTCCATTGTAGTGGCCCCTTGATCTGGGCAACCTGGCTTATAATAGGGCGACGAATTCTATACAGATCCACTGCTCCCTGGCCGGGTCCATCCTGAACCCAGCAGCGGTGTATACGCCATGCGTTACTGGCTTGGCCAGGGGGGCGGATACTGCTAGTCGGCCCAGCAAGGGCTCGGCCAGGAGGCATTGAATACGTGTAGATTTCGTCGCCCGATATAAGCTGGATTAGCGCCCAAATTGAGCCAAGGATGCAAACTGGATGAGGCCAGAGCAGGCGGGACTAAGAGGAATTAGTCGGGATTGTGCTAGACTCGGCGGGTGTTCGCCCAAGGATGCGGAATGTGACCTCCCAGGAGATTCATCCTGGTATGCAGGTCCCTCTCCTTTTTCCTCAGTTCTCCCAGGACGGGGGGGAAAGCGGCCACGGAGCGAGGTGGAACTGTATGGTTACATCCACATCGCCGTCTTACATCGACAAATCTTGATTAGTCTCTGGGAGTGGCTGTCCACATGGGCCACTGGAGAATCACTTTGCTGACCGTGCGCTCAACCAAACCCAGATCATTCCAAGAAGATCGATGGCCACAAGTGCAAATCTTGAACGGACAATGTCACATGGTCCTGGACAGCTAACCCCCCAGCGTAAAACACGCGGTGGCATCTCGCGCCCGAAGCGACGGCTTATGTGAACAAGTTGCGGGCGCTCATCGAAGAGAAACTGGCTGCCCAGACTGCGCGTGGTTTTCTGGAGTTCTATCTGGTGGGCATGAGTTACAGGCGTTGACAGCGGCCTCGACTGCATCAGTGCTCCTTCGGTTGCGGCTGCCAGTGCCGCAGTCCATCACTGTCCTTCGGAACTTGCAGCAAGACCCAACGACAGGCGCAAAGCTGATGTCTGCATGCCGTGCCTCTTGCCTCGCAAAACATCTGGACTTCTGCAAATTGTTTGCTACCACAAGCGGATGGACTCCGATCAAGACTTCGCAGCAGGTGGAGTGCCGCGATGAACTCGAGTTCGCACAAACGGTGCACCGTCTTGCAGATTCCCGCCTCCAACCCGCAGCCAATCATAACGTCGAAAGGCTTCTGCTTCGGCCTAAGCACAGAATGGACGAACACCTTCGGTGCGATGTCAAAGTCTGGTTGCTCATTGTGCATCATTGGCTACTGTTGGCTTCTTTCCTTGCCGTGCAAGGGCCAGCGTATGACACTGTAGATTTCGAAGTCGTTTCTACAAGAAAGGCACAAGTGAAGGCGTCCGCTTTCAATGGTATCGGGGCGGTCCTGCGAGAGGACCAGTGCAACATCAACTTACAGACGCGAAACATCTCCAATATTGTCCACGAACGTCCCGAGGCCTGCAGTCGAACATGCCGTTAGGCAGACTATGTACGCATTAGTGTGGGGACTGGTTGGAGGTGAGCCGTCATACCAAACCACTGTACCTACGCACCCCTATTGAAGTGGGTAGTTTCTCGTCATCGTGGGGGCGTGATGTGGCCCACGGTCGTGCAGGGAGAACAGATAGTTGCTTTTAGACACTCGGCAGTCCAACATGGCAGAGACTCGCGCTGTTTGCAACGTATGACCAGATCCAAATTGTTATGTTTGACCAGAGGGGCGATTCCAATTTCCAAAGGGAGCGTGCGCGCCGGAGCAGAGCAGGATTCGCCATGGAACACGGGCGGTAGATAGATGTCGAAGGTGGATCGGCAGAGCAACTCTCATGTTCTGTTCAGCGTCCCGCGGCAGAGCTGGTATCAATTGGATCGCAACCGTGTGTAACTCAAAGGGCCCTCTGCAGTATCTCTCGGAGCATGCCTTGTCTCGGACTGAACAGACTCTGGAGGTCTACTGATGGATTCGCGGGTGTGTCGACGCCGGTTTTCGCAACAACTGCTGCCAAAGGTTAACCACCCGCTGTAATCCCTATTCCCACGCCGAACCGTCCGACACTAAAGGCACCCCAGATTAGCTCTGGTTGCAGGCTGTATATATTCACATGTTTACTCTTCTCTGCGTCCCTCCTGTCTGTCGCTCCTGTCCTCCTCACTGCCCGACGTGCTCCTCCAGGGAAAAGCGAGGCTCTGCATCCCTCATGTCTGTTTCGCTTCTGTCCTCCTCTTACCTTGCCATCGTTCGGGCGTCCATTCCGTAAGGTTTTTTCGTTTCGAGCGTGATTTCTCAAGATGGTACAAGATGCTCCAAGGTCTAGATTTTGTGGCGCTGGCCTTGCCGAGACAAATGATCACGTCCGAGCGATGCCAAGTTACTGCCCCACCCGCTCCTCCAGGGAAGGCAAGGGCGTGCGGGTATGAATTGGACCGACGCCAGTGCAGGGCCCGGGATGCTGGAATACCAGGCTGTGAGAGCACATGCGCCGACATGCACGTACGACCCTCTCTTGTGGGATACCGCCGATACCACTGCGCCCTGGACCTCTCCCAGGGTGCGTTCTGACTAGAATCTCTGAGCGGATCTGGCCGTGGCGGCGAGAGCCCTCAAGGCAGCGGTGTCGGTACCTGTTTCTCCTCTGACGTATCCCCTGCAGCGCCCCCGAACGCTTCCCTGAGGCTGGGGGCGGTTCTGCGTTCCAGGCCCATTTTGAATGGTCCCAGGGCTCGATAACGGTCTCCGCGAGGCCGAAATCGAGGAACACCGATCGGGATTGAAAAAACATATCGTCGGAGATTTGGGTGCGGTCGGGGACTTTTGGATAGCGTGCCACCACGGCGGCCCCGGCCACCCGCTATTCCTTGCGAGCGGATAGGCGTGCGGTTCTCCACTCCACAAGGCGCGAGGCTCGGGAGAGCTCGGGACGCAGACGCTTAGGACGTGGGACCGCGACGTGGACACAGTCGGGGCGTTGACCTAAGGAACCCTAAATAAGGAACGAGGCCCCTTTCTTCCATAAGTTAAACTTCGATCTCCGATCGAAATCAGAAGGAAAACCTGAGGCAAGCTGTGAAGCACTTAAGGAACGCGGAGCCCCTCCCCAACGAAAAGCGTTCCTTCTTCAGGGCCCCGACTGTAGCGGTGTCGCTCCAAAGCGTGGCTGGCCAGAACCAGAGGAGCATCACGCCGAGCCAGAGCTCCTGACCGTGTGTCGGCGGCGTGCGCCACGGGGGAAGGCGAGGGGGGGAGCCGTCTTAGAAGAAGGCTGCCTTTCAGAAGGCGCCGGCCCTGAGTCTACAGACAGGACTCGCGACTTCTGAGAAGCAGGAGTGCTTCCAAGAAGCCTTCCCCCCCTCCACCTAACCCCCTTCTGCGCGTGCCCGAACCATCCCGCACAGGATGGCCCTGCCCAGAGCACGACGCATGCAGGAGCAACAACGCGGCATAGAATCCCGAAACCTGTGGACCTCCGCGCGGGCCTCTGGAATCCGCGCCGGGCCCCCCTCCCGTGCAGTGGCCGGCCCTCCCTGGGGCGACCTGGCTCTGCACCTCCTCGGGGATCACCACCAGGTCTAGCTCGCGGGTGCCGCCCCCCGACCACCTTTCGGGGAGACGCAAGACTCGGATACGGGGGACGCGGGTTGGCCTGACGGGGTCCATCCTAAAAATGACGAGACGCCATCTGAAATTTGACGCGAGCTCCCACTGCAAATATCCCACGAAAACTGGACAGTCAAAATCCAGGACGCGCTCGTCAAAAAACGTCGGCAGAAACGGGGAAGCCGAAGTTGGGATTTTTGGGGCGGCGGACGACGAAAACCTCAAGGACGCAAGAGCAAGGAAGAGCAAGGACGCAAGAGTACCCTGAGCAAAGTCGCGCGCCCTTATTTGGGCTTTTGACTGTAGACAAGGATGCCTTCGACAAGGAGCCCAGGGCCTCGCGACCGATGGGCGGCCAGGCGTGGGCCACCCACTTCGCCCTCAAAACAGAATGCGCCAGGGCCTGGGCTCCAGGAAGACGCTCCCTGTCAGGCATCGCCTCGCCTTCGGCGATCGAGGACCCCCGTGGGCCCGCACCAAGCGGCCACATTTGGCGAAAGGCCACTCCTTACGTGCAGTCGACACCTGCTGGGGGAGAGCAAAAGGTACCGATACTGCTACTCCCCGGACCTCTCCCGGGGTGCGTTCTGACCAGGACTTCGAGGCGAATCCGATGGTGGCGACGAGGGCCGCCCAGGAGGCCCCCAGAGAGGGGAAGACCAGGGAAGGGCAGAGACATGGGTACCCTCTCCCCCCCTGGCCAGAAGGCCACTTCGGAGGAAGGCCACTCTTCCCAGACATCCGACGTCTCGATTTTTTCGAGACGCGGGCCCCCGACCTCCCGACCACTTCCCTGGGACCGGTTTTTCATCCCGAGTCGTTTTTTGACCGTCCCGAGGCCCGGCGAGGGCCCCGAAATGCCAAAAACTATGAAAAACCTCCGTCTCGATTTTTTCGAGACGCCCGATGTCTGGGTTTGCGCCCAGTCGACGCCTGCGGGGCCGCCCCAGCGTCTCCCGGACCTCGGCCTCCGCGCTCCGGGCGGAGCCCCGCGAGCCCGGGCGCCCCAGGGCCGAGCCCAGCGAGTCCTGGCGGGGGGCGGGCCGAGGCCGCCGCCGCGCCGGGTTCGCCCCGGGGCGTGCCCAAAGGGTGGGCGGCGCCGACGCCACGGGAGACGCACGGCAAGCCCTGCGCCCCGCACCCCAAGTCTGAGATAAAAGGCAGGTGTGCTAAAAAGAGAATGTGCTTTTTGTACCACGCCTGTTTTTTGGTGGCACACTTGTTATTTTTCATCACACTCGTTCGGGGCAAGCCCCGCGCCCCGCACCCCAAGCAGACGAGGCCGCCGCGCGGCAAAGCCACGGCACACCCGCCGCGCCCGAGGAGGCGTTTGCCCTGGCGGCCGAAGCGCCCTCCCTACCAAGACGAAGGCCGCGCGTCGGGACAAACGGCGCGGGCAAATACGAGCAACAGCGACTCGGCCTCAGCGCGACTCAACCTCAACGAACTCGGATTGCGAGCTAAGCGGTCGCCGCCTGCGCGGTGGCGGGGCTACCCGCGACAACAACTGCCCCAGCGAGCGTGAGAAGCGTGCAGCCACATTCACGGGCTGTCCTGCGAGAGTTGGTTGTACAGGACCGCGGAGGGGCCACAGGACCAAACGCCCACCATCATCAGCCGCCTCATTGCGAGCAGGTGCGAAGCTGGCACACGTGCCACCTTCGCGGGCGACGTGCAAATGAAGCGGCAGGTAACCCCTGATACACGCGAGTGCCAAGCAGCAGAGAAGGAGGAAGGAGAAAGGAGGGAGGGAGCGAGGGTACAGAGAGGGATCGTGCCCTTGGAGAAAGGCCTACGCCTACAGCTCCTCCTCCCCCGGCCTGCGGGCCGCAGCCCCTGACCCAGACCGCAATCGAAACGAGCCGCTGGTGGCAGCTCCCGGCCACTTTCGCGGGCCGTCGCGTGCAAGGCTACGATGCAGCAGTGCAGAGAGAGGAGGAGTGGAGGAGAGGAGGAGGATGAGGAGAATGAGGACGGATGATGAGGAGGAGGAGGATGAGGAGGAGAAGGAGGAAGAGGAAGAGGAGGATGAGGAGGAGGAGGAGCAAGAGGAGGAGGAGGAGGAGGAGGAGGAGGAGGAGGAGGAGGAGGAGGAGGGGAGGAGGAGGAGGAGGAGGAGGAGGAAGGAGGAGGAGGAGGAGGAGGAGGAGGGGGAGAAGGATGAGGAGGAGGAGGGAGGAGGAGGGGGAGGAGGAGGAGGAGGAGGAGGAGGAGGAGGAGGAGGAGGAGGAGGAGGAGGAGAAAGAGGAGGAGGATGAGGAGGGGCACGTTGAGCGGTCCCCGCAACGGCCAGGCGTAGCAATGGACAGTCTCAACAAGTCCACTCCTGGGTATGCTACGATAAATTCTAGACTCCCCTCGGAGTATCCGGCTCATACTCAAGATCACGATGTCCACCCGAAATCGGTCCCTGGACCCCTCCTAGGACGTGGCTGTCGGTTCTTCTCCATCCTGGGTTGATTTTCGACAGCCCCGGAGTATGAAACGGGCCCCAATATCAAATGGAGAAACAACATCTGACGGGTGTTGGTTCCATCCCCCTCCGTGTTCCCCCTTCTCCTCCTCGCAGGGGAGGTCAGGGAACAGGAAGCACGACCGCGACAGACATCGTATGACAAGACGACAGAATGTATTCAAGGGCCGCGTATGCGACCAGCTAGTCATTTGCCAGGCAACAGTGTGTATATATCTATACATATATATATATAGATATATATACATATATATATATATATATCCACCGCCTGGGGAACCAATCTCCCAGATCCCCAGGGGAAGGTGGACATGGACAGATGTTGGCCATTAAGCCCTGCAGGGCTCGACGGTAACCATATCCACCGCCTCGGGAAGTCCAGCAAGATCGGCTCCCCGGGCAGCCTCGAGGGATTGAGAGGACACGCCGGCAACCCTGACGTTCGGGTCGATGCACTCATCGGTCGCGGCCGCTTCGCCTTCAGCCAACATACGCTCAAGATGCCAACGTCTCGAATCCAACCAAGACGGGCATGTGTCGCCACTCTCGGCGTGCAAGACCAACTCTGGACCCCTGGACCGCCAACGAATAACACAGAATGGAAAACCAACCTGCTGGGAAGGGGTCGGGACTTCCAGGGACCCGTCACTGTGAGAGCAAAGAGAATAAGGAAAACTACATCGAAGGTCTGAGTGCATGGCCAGAAGTGCACCCCGCTCCGCCGCGCAAAAGACTTCCATTGGGCACACGCTGCTGGGACTGCGCTGCGCTGGCTTCCAACTCCCAGCGGACGCTAACCGCCCTGAGGCCCACAACCACCAATCACCCTCCTCTTCCTCCCCCCCCCCCCCCACTCCTCCTCCTCCTCCTCCTCCTCCTCCTCCTCCTCCTCCTCCTCCTCCTCCTCCTCCTCCTCCTCCTCCTCCTCCTCCTCCTCCTCCTCGTGATCATCGATGAGCTAGCTTTGTCTTGCAAGCACGAAAAGGGTATGATCGGGAGGGCGGGCTTCGGGGGCGCGCCGACCACGCTGCGGCGAGGGCGCGCCGCGCGCCCGCCATGAAGTGTTCCTGCGAGCACCGCACTGCGCCTGCGAACACCACCAACATATGCGACAACATCATCGCGTCGTGCCTGACAGCGCCTCAGCTTGTGCCACAGTAGGCCTCGAGCGTCACATGATGCTTGCGAGCACCATCGAGGCGCATGTGAGCACAAGTGTTGCCTGCGGGCATCGCCGCGGGTCGAGGAGCACCACGGTGTGTTTGCGATGAAGCCCCAACAAGCTGCGCGCAACACAACGTCCCTGGAAACAAACGGAGGTGTTTCTGACCGCTGCGCGGCGAAGGAAGCCCGGCCCTGCCTTCACAGCTCATGCTTGCGAGCGCCACACGTTTGCACAGCAGTGCAATCCCCCCTCGTCCTCCTCCTCCTCCTCCTCCTCCTCTGGGACACACAGAGACATACTAGTACTATATGTCCTCCTTGGAGGCGCGCGTCCGACCCGAACATTTAGTATACCCATCTTGTAGTATATCGTTTCCCGAGCGGTGTGGCCAGAAAGCGCCCGCCACGACGCATATACTATAAGATTTCTCGGTGCGCGCGTCGCCCCTGGGGGGGCGACGCACATATAGTAGAAGTATGTTGGGGTGTTGCCGATCCTCCTCCTCCTCCTCCTCCTGACCATCGCTCGGAAGTTCCCGCTGGGAAGGGCCCACAACTCCCGAGCAATGACCCGCCCGGAAGCGCAGGGCGCCCGAGAAGGCGCCTCGGAGGCACCCGGACGGCGCGGCGCAGCAGGCGGACGGCACACCGGGAAGACCCCCGCAGAGGACCAAAAGGCGTCGCTGGCAGGCGGAGACACCTGCAAAGCTCCTGGGCGGCTCCAGACAGCGCCCGCAAGGCACCAGAAGGCACCCTGAACTGGAGATGGACGGTCGGCGCCCGAACATGCGAGACTCGATAATTGTGTGAAGTACCTGTGGTTGTCGCTTCCCTCTGGCCCCTGCGTCCACAAAGGGGCGCTTCCTGAAACCCAAACCTGGCATGCACGCGCGCCGGGCACGCGCCCGCGAGGCACCCCAAGACACCCGCACATTGAAGTCCACGACCAGCGCCCGAACGCATCGGCATCAGACTCCACCCGCGAGTCCACCGTGCGTTGCGTCTTCTTCTTTTTTTGAGCGCAGCGGGGGCCGCACAAAGGGTGGGATGCTGCAGCCCTGCCCGCGCCCTCCAGGGGGACGAGGGCTGGGACAAAAATCGACGGAGGTCGGCGCCGTCACGCCCGGGTTATCCAAGCGGCCCCCCTCCCATCCCCCCCCCCCCTGCCTTATGCTGTTCCTATCCTGCTCAAGGACCGCATCCCAGAAATAATGTCGAGCACCCGGCAAAGTGTCAAAAGAGTGTCGAAAGAGTGTCGAAACAGTGTCGGGCGAGTGTCTCCCAGGGCCCTTGAGTTTCGGTACTTGTTATGGCGCTCGAAATTCTTTCTGGTGATCAAGGCTAAAGTAGGTTAGAGCATCATAACCCCTGCCCGCTCCGATGGCCCCAAGGACGAGCGTCAAGGCTGGGGTGCGACTGTCCACCAAGAGCCCTGCAGCAGTCGGGGCACGCCGCTTAAAGGGGGCAGGGAGCGGCTCCAGCGTTCGCGGTGGAGCTTCTCGAGGTCGGCCTTCGCTACGCCATCCTACGGTTAAGTCGGGCCTGTCCCCCTACAGGGAGATTTTGGAGGAAAAATAAAAGATACCCCCAACATACTCCCAAATTCTCAGAAAATAGTTAAAAATAGTCCCCAGACTATTTTTTGTATTTTTGAATATTCCCCCTGTCGAGGGACAGGCCCGACTTAACGCTACGCCATCCTACGATCCATGGGTTCAAATCGGCCCATCCTCTCGACTCTCCCGAGTGTCCCTCGCTGCCCGTGCCGCGAGGACGAGGAAGGGGCGGGGCACCCTCGTGCCGTGGGGAAGTCAGTCCAAATCTGGGCGGCGCAAGCAACCGCTGCGCGGCAGCCCGAGCACGTGTTAAGAGGCCACGAGGTCATCTTCACAACCCCGTGACGGGAAAATTAACTTTCAAACGAACACCTAAGAGGTAGGCGGCCCCCCCACGTGTGCAACGAACGCGTGGCAAGGCCCTGCAGCTGTGCTGCTGAGGCCCGGGAAGCAGCGCCCCGCTCAGAGGCGGGGAGGCACCCCTGGCAGATGCGGGGCGTCGTAGAGGCCCACATGACCCAGTGAGATCCCGTCACAAACAACGGGGGCGCCCAAGCGGAAGCGCGCATTCGCGTCCACACCCCGGCCCATCCAGCCTGAACGGCGGTGCTGGAAAATGCCGCGGGCGTGTCCTCGAAAAGAAGGCGCGCAGAGGGCAGAAGTCGCAGGGCCTATGGAAGAGAAATATGGCTCAATGGAATCCCGTCACAACAACGGGAAATACGCATTCGCGCCCTCCAAACCGCACCCTGGCCCAACCGGCCCGGGCGGCGGTGTCAGGAACGACGCGTGCTTGGCCTCGAAACGGAGAAGACGCACACAGGCCAAAAATCGCAACAGTCTATAGAGGAGTGGGGATCCTCCCCGCAAAAGCGACCCGGCAGAGGCAGGGCGAAGGGGCACTCGGACCAGAAGACGCCCGAGCATTCAGTGCGAAGGCTTCTGGCCTTCCGAGAAGCTTCCGAATCCTTTTCCGTAACCACGCCGCCTTCTGAGAAGGCCTGCCCCCTCGTACCAGGGTGCAACGAGGTACCGATACCGCGACGCTCTCGACCTCTCCCAGGGTGCAATCTTCGGGCTGGGCGAAAGGGGGGGATAGCAAAGGGGGGGGGGTGAGAACCAGCTCGCGTAGCTGATTTTCCTGGCGCCTCCTGGCGCCGGAGGCGGCCATGTATCGAGGACTGGGCCCCTCGGTGGGGCCGAAGCCAGCTGCATGCAGCAGATTTCGTAGCCCCCCCTTTCCCTATCCCCCCCCTTTCGTCTGGCCCGAAACCTGACCTGATCCTCGAGAAGAATCCAACGAGAGCTACCCAGGATGAGCAGCGGTATACCGGCATCTCTTCCTCCCCCGCCTCTGAAGGGGCCCTGGGACACACAAATAAATACACACAAATAAACAGATCCCCCTATGTTTTCCCATATTTTCTGGGTTTCTGTCCTCCCCCCCACTTCCCATATTTGCCCATATTTTCTGGGGAATCGCCGATTAATCGTGTCTGTGTGTTTTTTCCCTCCTGAGCCTCACTTCCCCCCTCGGCGCGCCGCGCAGAACACGGCCGAGGTACCGGCCACGTCGGCGCCGCACGCCCGCAGCCCCGCACATCACTGGCCCAGGCCGCCCAGCGCGCACGCCAAGGCTGCCGCGAGGGCGCACACCGTCGAGAGCCCGTGCGGGGTGGCCCCGTCGAGGACGCCGTCGCCGGGGGCCGGCGTTGGCGTGATAGGCGGCGGAGGAACGGGCGTGGGAGCCGCGGGTGCCTGAGCATCGCCTACTCCGGATTCCACAATCAAGTGGTGGGGGTCACATTTGGGGGGGGGGGTCTGATCTGAGGTGTCTTGGAGGGTTTGGGGGGGGATCTGGGCAGTGGGCCGCCCTTTCATGGATGGTCTGGGGGGGTCTACAGCTTCTCGTCTGGGAGGGTTGTGACCCCCTCCCTTTTATTGTAGGGGCCTCCTAGATGGGGTCGGAGTAGATGGGGTCGGAGGATCTCGCCGCATCGACGATACATCGACGATGCATCGGCGATGCATTGGCCATGCACTGGCGACGTCGGCGACGCATCGGCGACGTCGGCGTGGAGAAAATCGGGCTCCGCATCGAGATGCATCGCCGATGCATCGGCGATGCGGCACGATCCTCCGAACCCATCTGCTCCGACCCCATCTGGGAGGCCTAGATATTATGAAATCTGGAGTAGCCGATCCCTGCGGCCGAGAACGTTGGCTCCGAGCGCCGCGGCGACGGCCCCCGCGGCACGCCGTGGCCCCTGCGAGCGGGCAGCGCGTCGCTCCGCTCCGCGGGGCGGGAGGCCTCGCCATCGCTCGGACGTCCATTCCCTGTGCTTTTGTTCGATTTCATGCGTGGTTTTTTCGCCAGATGATCGAGGATGCGCCTCGATGGTCCTCGCCGAAGGAAAAAATGCACACGTCCGAGCGATGCCGAGAGGCTGGGGAAAGCCTGGGAAGCTGGTGCTCGGGGGCCGAGGCTTGCCGAGCGTGTCGCGCCGAGGCGCGGTGGGCCAGCGCCGGCGGGGCGACGGGCTGAGCCAAGGTTCCTGGCCGTGCTCCCGCCTGTGGAACCCTGGCCCCACTGGCCGACACCCCCCATGGGCAGGTGATATACTTTGATAGGGGAACAAACAGTGGCATAGACAAATTATCCCAGTGCGACCCTACCTAGGAGTTGGAGCATCTAGGAAAGCAACATCTACATCTACACCGACAGCTACATTAACATCGACGCCTGCATTTACATCTACATCCACATCAACAGCGAGACTCACATCTACATCTACATCTACACCTACATCTACACCTACATCTACATCTACATCTACATCTACATCTACACCTACATCCACATCTACACCTACACCTACATCTACATATACAAGTTCGCAGTGGTGTTGTTGTTGCTTTGCATTGCCTTGTGTTTGCTGTTGCTGTTGCTTGTGCTGTTGCTTTTGCTTGTGCTTTTGCTACAGCTACACCTACATCTACATCGACATCCACAGATACAGCTAAGCTAAGCTATGCTAAGCTATGCTGTGCTATGCTATGCTATGCTGCGCTGTGCTATGCTAAGCTAAGCTATGCTGCGCTTTGCTTTGTCTTGCTCTGCTGTGCACCCAGCGACAGCAGGCTGTTCAGCACTGCTCGCGGCTCCTGCAAGTGCTGCATGCTATGTTATGCTAGGTTATGATATGCTGCGCTATGCTATGCTGCGCTATGCTATGCTATGATATGATATGTTCTGATATGTTATGCAATGATATGCCAATGTTTTGCTGCGCTAAGTTAAGCTAAGCTTAGCTATCATAAGCTAAGCTAAGCTAGGCTAGGCTAGGCTAGGCTAGGCTAGGCTAAGCTAAGCTAAGCTAAGCTAAGCTAGGCTAGGCTAGGCTGGGCTAAGCTAAGCTAAGCTAAACTAAGCTTAGTTAAGATAAACTAGGCTAAGCTAAGATGAGATAAGCAACGCTAAGCTAATGGGACGTAATTGGGGGAACCGCGGGGCGGATACTGGGGGAACCGCCCGGGGCGAGTTGCACTGCCCGGCCCTTTAAGTTTACCGAGTACGAACCCTTCTAGGCAGAGCATAGGTAGGGAAAAAACTCGGAGGTCCGCGCGGATTTCGTCGGATCGGAGCTGGACCGCCCTCCCTGGCGCGCGGAGCGCGCCAGGGGCGGCGCTGGAGGCGCTGCCAGGGGGGCCCAGCGCCGATCCGAGAAATCCGCGCGGACCTCCGAGCTTTTATGTTTATGTCACTTTTTGTTCCCCTATTCGAGATCCTGGCGTCGCATTTCTGCCTGCGCCAAGCGATGTCGCGATTCCTCGGGCCCGTGGGCATCACGGATCGATCCGGTCCGGAACACGCAGCGAGAGATGGTGTCTCGGGCTCCAGCGACGTCAGATCTCAGGGTATACTACTCGCTTCGGGTTTCGCAAGGTCTATCCCCGTCTAGGGGGGGAGGACCTGTGGGGCTGAGCGACCATGGCCCCGCGGGGATGGGGATCGGTTGAGCGACGCGGGGTGCCGCAGTTGGGCTGGGGGCCGCCGGGGTCGGAGAGGCGTACGGGTGGCAGGCGCAACACATCGCCATGGAGCCGGTGGAAGAAGAAAGAACAGCATTCGCATAGTCTGTCGGAGGTCCGCGGGCTCCTGTGATCTGCGCTGGGCCCTCCTCCATGGCGTTCAGGGTGCGCCAGCGGCGGCGCCAAAGGCGTCGGGGGGGGGGGGGCCAGCGCAAATTCAAGAAATCTGGCGGACATCCGAAAGCATAAGCTTATGATGCTGTTTCTCCTTCGAGCTGAAGTCGTCGTCGTCAAATTCGCCGCAGAAGTGCACTGGGTCCATGGCGTAGACCGAGCAACCGTCTCCGGTGCTGTCCTTCTTGGTGAGGTCAGTGTCGACGCATCCAGGCTCGGGTGGCAGTATGGGCTCCTCAGTGGCGGCCGTCCAGTCTGGCTCCCTGTCGCTGCCACCTCCGCAGGCACAACACAAATCGTGAGAACTGAAATCGACGTCGTCGTATATTCCGCAAAACCCTGGATTGCGGCGATACGTGTCGCAGCCGTCTTCGAACGGGTCCTTCAGGCCAACATCTGTGCTGTAGCAAGACTGGTACACCTGCACCTCTGATGGGGAACGCTTGGGGGGGCCGACTTAGGGGGGGAAACGTAGACCTAGAATCGGCGATGCATCGCCAATGAATCGGCGATAGGCCCCCGATGTCTAATCAGGACGTTCCCAGGCGGGGTAGGCTTTCTGCCTCCTGCACCTATCCCTCCCGAACGTCGCCCCCTGGCTTGCTCTCAAGCGGCCGTTCGGGACGATCTGGGCACCCCCAGAACTCGCACAGCGAGCCGCAACTGCTGGAAAACATCCGGAGACTGGAGAACTGCCGAAAGGCGACGAACATGTCACAACGACACGAGCTTGAGCACCTCCTCTGGCGCGGAGATTGTAAAGCCTGCTGCGTCCATCGTCAGCCCCGAGTCGTTGAAGCTCTGGGCGAGGTGGGCGCGGGTGCCCTCCGCGTGTGCAGCGAGCTGCTGGGCAATCACCAGGTGGTACGACGCGTCCGACTCGGTGACCAGAAGGATGTCGTAATCTACATGCCACCGGGTCAGGGCGGCAGCGTTGCTCCGGCCGGCAGCAGCAGTTGCGGTGACGCTGTCGGGGGCGACGCCGTGCTTGCTGGTCGCGAAGGAAGCGACAGAGGACTCCACGTCATCTGAAGTGCCGGTGCTGGATAGAGACATGTCCACCCGCACCAGGTACTTTTGCGTCGTTGTGGTCGCTGTGAGCGTAGTCCATACCGCTGGCGGTGACGGCGTCGGTGCCAGCGTAGAGGTCTGCCCTGCGGTTGGTGCAGCAGTCGGTACGGCGGTCGGTGCAGCTGTCGGCGCGGTTGGTGCAGCAGTCGGCACGGCGGTCGGCGCGGCCGTCGGCGAACTGGTCGGCGCACGAGTCGGGGAGCTGGTCGGCGTAGCAGTCGGTGCGCTGGTCTGCACGGCTGTCGGCACCGGAGTTGGCGAACTGGTCGGCGCGCGAGTCGGCGAGCTGGTCGGTAGGGCAGTCGGTGCGCTGGCCGGCGCGGCAGTGGGCGCGGATGTTGGCGAACTGGTCGGCGCGCGAGTCGGGGAGCTGGTCGGCAGGGCAGTCGGTGCGCTGGTCGGCGCGGCCGTCGGCGCGGATGTTGGCGAACTGGTCGGCGCACGAGTCGGGGAGCTGGTCGGCAGGGCAGTCGGTGCGCTGGTCGGCGCGGCCGTCGGCGCGGATGTTGGCGAACTGGTCGGCGCACGAGTCGGGGAGCTGGTCGGCGCAACGGTCGGCACGGCAGTCGAGACTGGCGGGGCGGGAGTCGACGGGCAGAAGCTGGACAGCCGGCGCTTCGGAGAGTCGGCGCAGGCTCCATCGTAGCAGTACTTGTTGATGCCGCACTCGTTCTCGAAGGGGTTGGCGGCCGCGTCGCACTGGCACGGCACGCGGATCTTCCAGGTGCCATCTGGATCGTCTCGGCATGGGCAGTTCTTGCCCCGGCCGTGGCAGGGCAGGGTGTAGGTGCTGTAGCCTTCGCTGGGGTCCTTGTACACCACGTCGGTCCCGGAGATCTCAGAGGAATAGAGTTGGCAGCTGCCAGCCCCCTCGACGAAGACGAACGTGTGGCAGCCGGGGTCCGTCTTGCACGTCTTGTAGCAAGTGCTGCGGGTGAACCCACTGTCCCCGCTGCGCTCCCGAGCAGGGACACTCAGCCCATGGAAGCCCACGTCGGCGTCCGGATAGTACTCGGCGTCAAGGAAATCGAAGCCGGCAGCGTAAGCATCGCAGATGTAAGTATCGTAGCCTGGGACAACTGCCAAATCCTCAACGAAGTTCTTGTTCGACCAGAGCTCGCAGAACCCCACGTCCGCCCTGTGAATGAAGCTGTGGCACTGCCAATTGTTCGCGCACTCCATGTTGCACTGAATCAGAGTTTTCCCCGTGAGGAACACTTGCACGTCTGCGTGGCCAAGGAAGCCGCGGCTGGCGAACCCCACGCACCCGCTGAATTCTGTTTCAGTCGAATGAGGGTTGGGATCCGCTGGAGCGGCCGTCACTACATTACCAGTGATGGTCACCTCGTCAGGGTGTTTGCATTCGCCGGCGCTACACGTGCCATCAAAACCGATCCCATGGCAAGGCGTTCCGTCGGGAACATTATTGATGGGATGGCCGTTCACTTCCCAGCTGCTGAGACTCAAGCACGTGCCGTCTCCTGCCTGGGTGCACTTGATCTTACAACCGTTCGCCTCGAGCCCGCAGTAGCTGTCGAAAAAACTGTTGTCTTGGCAGACGTGCTGGGTGACGCACGCGCCCTCGTTGCAGTAGCCGTCTGCGCCCGCAAGCGTGCACGCGAAGCCAACCGGCTGGAACATGCCCGCAGGGCTGCAGCAGCCACCGTGGCCGATGGCGCCGTACGAGCACTGCATCGGCGTCGCGAGCGCACCGACTTGCATCTGCACCTGGCAGCCGCAGCACCCTGAGCAAGCCTGCGACCCATCACTGCACTCGCAGCCCTCACCTGGCTCTGTAATTCGGTTGCCGCACTCGGCTTCGAAAACCGAGAACCCCGAGCAACTGTTGACTTGGGCAGTGAGCTGACCGCAGATCTCAGATTTGCGGAGGTCGTTGAACCGATACACGCCGTTTAGACTGCCGTCGCCATAATCCATGATGCCCCCTGTCTTGCCCTGGCCTTGCTCGAACGAATGTTGGGCTCCGAAGTTGTGTCCCAGCTCATGTGCCATGATGTGCCAAGTGGGATATGCATAATTTCCTCTGCTCAACCAGGTGACTCCTGTGTTGTACCCCCAATCGTAGCACAACACCCCTATCCACGCCAGGCCGATGAAGCCGGAATTCGCGTAGCAATTATCGAAAAGATGCCACACGCCCATCGTGGAGTCTGGATTAGCTGCAGAATTCTCCCAAGCGACCAGCGCCCACAACTGATCATTAATTGTCATCGGGCATGTGCTACCTTGGTCCCAGCTTGGAGCGCCGTCGTGGGTCTGCTGAACGACAAGACTGCCCATCTGGAGGTGGATATTGAGCTGGGGTTCGTACGCCATGTTCGCGTTGGCGACCATAGCGTGGACCCAGTCCTCTGCCTCTTGGTCAGTCTGGAAATTCTCGTCTCGCCACACGTTGGACGTGATGACTGCGCCGAACTTGAAAGTGCGCATCGTCTCCTCGCCAGGATAGCAGTTGGTCCACTGGTCGATCGCGTCGGGATTAAGGATCGACAAGCGCCTGTCCACGGCGGGCTCCTCCAGCGAGCCGTTCGGGCGAAGGCCGCCCACGCCGAAGTCGGTGGGCGCCTTGGCCTCGCTGGGGTCGAAGCGCGTCACCTCGAGAGCGGCGCTCCTGTGCTGGTGCCGGATGTCGAATACCGTGGCTCCCACGAACACGGTGCCCGTGAAGCTCTGCCCCACGGCGGTCAGCACCGCGTCGCGGGCGGGGCTCCTGAAGACGACGGGCTGGCCCAGGGCGCGCTCCGTCCTCTGCCCGCCCGCGCCGTGCACCACGACCCTGCCGCCAGAGGACGGCGTGGCCTGGCGCTTAGTGGGCCCTGGAAACGACAAGGCCGTTTTTTTACCGGTTCCGTTTTGCCGTTTTTGTTGCCGGTTCCGACGCCGTTTGTTTACCCGTTCCGTCGCCGTGTTTTGACCGGTTCCGGCTCTGGTTCCAATCCTGGAGCCGTTTTTCTGCCGTTTCCGGTCGCCGTCTTTCTGCCGTTCCAATTTTCAAAGGAAACGTTTTGGGAAGCGGTGAAAAAACGGCCCTGCCGTTTCCGGGGCCCACTAAGGCCTGGCGGTACAGCTTGTACCTGAAGGTCCGGTTGTGCGCCTGGAAGCCGAGCACCAGCACGCTGCCCGACGGCCGGTACCCCTCGGTCGGCACGTCGTGGGCCGCCGCCTTTTGGGGAGGCAAAATGGTACCGATACCGTCGGGGCGTTGCCCTAAGGAACCAAAAATAAGGAACGGGGCCCCTTGTTTCCATGAGTTAAACTTCGATGTCCCATCGGAAACCTAAGGAAAACCCGAGGCAAGCTGTGAAACACTTCAGGAACACGGAGCCCCTCCCCAACGAAAAGGGTTCCTTCTTCAGCGCCCCGGCTGTACTCCCCGGAACTCTCTCGGGTTGCATTTGGACATGACTTCCCAGGGGGCGACGAGGGCTCTCCAAGGCGAGCGACGGTATCGGTAGTTTTGTTGCACCTCCGAGCCTCCGAGAGGACGTCCCGCCCGCCCTCGTCCACGAGGCTGAAGCTCGTTGCGACCTCGGAGCGCCCCGCTGCACGCGCTGCCATGCAGAGCCACGCCACCAGCCGCAGGAGGAATCGGGCCATCATCGGCGGCAGCGCGCGATCTGGTCACCGCAGGCTAATAACGCTGGCGGGGCAGCGCTGAGGTCTGCGGCTGCTCTTTTGCCGAGCCGGAGCCTCACTCGAAAAATTGGCTGCGAGGTTGAACTGCTGACGATGATCCACATGTTCGGGCTCGTGCGCTCCCAGGCGCTCAGGGGACCCGAAGCCCAGCATCCACGAGGCTCCAGGCAGTGACCGCACGGCACCGCAGGGCCCACGAGAATGGAGAGGGGCAGTCGGCGCCCGAACGTATCAGCTTCGACATGCGAGTTGCGTGTAGTGGCCACCTTGTCCTGGAGGAGGAGGTGGAGGCGGAGGAGGAGGAGGAGGAGGAGGAGGAGAATAGGAGGAGGAGGAGGAGGAGGAGGAGGAAGAGGAGGAGGAGGAGGAGGAGGAGGAGGAAAAAGAGTTCTCGTCCTCTTTCTCCTCCTCCTCCTCCTCCTCCTCCTCCTCCTCCTCCACCTCCTTCCCCTGATCACTGATCGCTGCGGGCATGTGTGCCCATGGGAGGCGCTGCCCTACTCTCCCCTCCTCCTCATCCAACAATTGGGAGGAACACCATGCGAGTGCGGCAGTTTGCCTGTGAGTTTCACAGCTCGCCAATAAGCATGACTAAATAATTACCCCTTCGGAGCCTCCACGTTACCAACACCGCAACACCACGCGAGACCCACACTGCGGCTGCGAGCAGAGGCAGTATGCATGCGACCACCACAAGACATCGCGAGTGCTGCACTTTGCTCCATGCGAATGGGATGACCACGCGGGGAAGATAACCACACCTTGCCAATAGCGCAGCGGCCTGCGATCACCACGCGCGTGCATACCAGCATGCGGGTCCTTGTCACTAGCGCACGCAAAAGCGCGTGAGCGCCACTGGATGGCTGGAAACACCAGCAGTATGCCTGTGAGCACCGCAGTTGCCTGCGAACGCCACATTGGTCTGCGAGCGTCACGCTATACCCGAGAACACTCTGGCGTGCCTGCGAGCACCTCAAACATGTGAGCGCCACCACACAACTCCGAGTGCCACGCGGCGGCTAGCGTGAAGAGATCTGGGGGATCGACGGGGTCGATCGCGTGGGCGTTACCGCCCAGTGAGAGGAAACTGGCCCGTCCTCCTCTGTTCCTCCTCCCTCTCTCGTGAGCCAACCTTGTTTCCTGGAGGTGCCAGTGGCTATTGCCCAAGTGCTGGCTCCCGGGTCTGGCCGCCAGAGAACGCGCCAGGCACGATGCGAAGGATTGATTGCAAAAAAACCCTTGAACGAAGGATTGCAAAAAAACCTAGGTTTTGCAAACAAACCCTAGGATTGCAAAAAAACCTAGGTTTTTTGCAATCCTAGGTTTTTTTGCAATCCTTGGTTTTTTTGCAATCCTTCGAAAAGTCTCCAACACTCCTGCTTCATGGTCGGCGCCGGCCCTCTCGAACCAACATCGACTTGTTGTATCGCAGTGCTCTGCAGTGTTCCTCCTCCTCATCCCTCCCTTCCCTCCTCCCTGCCCATCATTCTCTCCATGTTCCTCTTCATCCTCCTCCTCCTCCACTTCCCCCGTCCTCTCCCCTCCTCTTCTTGCCCCGCCCCTCTCCCCCCTCCCCTTGGGCGGAAAGAGGGACGCCGACACCGCTACTCCCTGGACCTCTCCCGGGCCGCATTCCAAACAGGAGGTCGAGGGGAATCCGGCCGCGGCGACGAGAAATCTCCAGGACGAGCAGCGGTATCAGAAAATTGTTGCTTCCACCTCTGGTCCCTGCACCCCCTTCCCCAATCTGTCCCGTTCATCCCTCTCTCGTCCATTGCCTCCCCCGCACCGCGCCTCTTCATTACCTAGAAGACAGGATCCACAGACAAATCGCTTGACAAATTACTCTGACGAAGGACGCAACAATATGCAGTTGTGAACTCCACAATTGTGAAACATCCTTTCGCCGGAGCTCACTACGGGGCCACGAAACGCGTGAAAGCAGTGCCGAGATCAGGCGGGACCCCCATGCGGGCGCTGCCGCTGGGGCCGCCCGCAAGGGTCGGGCATGGACAGACCCCCCTTTAGTAAAACGTGGTTTAGTGAAAACGACCTGAGGCCCAAACCTGGCGGGCGCACGCCTGGAAAATAACGGCCACGGCGCCATCTCGAGAACCGAAAACGGACAATTCACTAATCGACGTGTCACTGTTGGGGCCTCTGTCCACCCCCGAAAAGGGAGCGGAGGTCAAACGAAACGGGTGACGTGCTGATGTAACCCGTTCCGGCTGCCGGGCAGAGGGAGAGGCGGGAGGAAAAAAGTGCGGGCGCGGCGCGCGAACGCAGCCACCGGGGACTGCGTCCTCCCAGGGGGACTGCAGGTCGTACCCCCAGGGGGCTGCAGGTCGTCGTCGGTCGTCGTCGTACTCCCAGGGGGCTGCAAGTCACCTGCACAGCATCCCCCCCTCCTTAAATGCCAACCGCAGAGGGCCGTCGTCGTCGTCTTCGTCTTCGTCTTCGTCTTCGTCGTCGTCGTCGTCGTCGTCGTCGTCGGCGTCGTCGTCGTCGTCGTCGTCGTCGTCGTCGTCGTCGTCGTCGTCGTGGTGGTCTTCGTCCCCCCGGACTGCAAACCGCCTACGCAGCCCGCCCCCCACATGCCATCCACAAAGGACGGTTGTCGTCACCGTTGTAGTCTTGGTCGTGGTCGTGGTCGTGACCGTGGTCGTCGTCGCCCCCCAAGACTGCAAGCCGCCTATGCGGGCTCCCCACCCCACAGATGCCGTCCGCAAAGGCTCGTCGTCTTCTCCGTCCCCAGGGACTGCAGGATGCCTACGCAGCCCCAGCACCCCCCGCCATGCCATCCGCACCAGGCCGTCGTCGTCGTCGTCATCGTCGTTGTCTCATCGCCCACCCCGTACCATCCGCAATGGCAGTCGTCGTCGTCGTCGTCGTCGTCGTCGTCGTCGCTGTCTCGTCCGTCAGGACTGCAAGACGCAGGACGCCCATGCAACACCCCGCACCCCCTTTTGCCATCCGCAGTCCGCCTTCGTCGCCGCCGTCGTCCGCCGTCGCCGCGGGACCGCAGGATGTGGACTCGCCGCCCCCCCTCCCCCCTCCTCCTCTCCTCCCTCCTCCTCCTCCTCCTCCTCCCTCCTCCTCCTCCTCCCTCCTCCCTCCTCCCTCCTCCCTCCTCCTCCCTCCTCCTCCTCCTCCTCCTCCCTCCTCCTCCTCCTCCTCCTCCTCCTCCTCCTCCTCCTCCTCCTCCTCCTCCTCCTCCTCCATCTTCTCCTCCCCTCCTCCTCCTCCTACTCCCCTCCTCCTCCCCTCGGGGGCGGCGAAGAGGGGAGCGTCCAGGAGCGGGGGGGGTGCAGATCATGACCAGCGGCAGGTGCGCGGCCCAGCGGGGGGGCCAGGGACGCCATGGAACAAGAAGAGGCGCCAGGAGATCTGGGGAGATCTCAGGGCCCCGGCCATGATCTCCCCCGCCCCCCCTAGCCACCCCCCCCCTCTTTGCCGCCCCCGGGAACCCTGTTCTTGATCGTTGACCCCCATTACGGATGTGTTCGCCGCTCGTGAAGGGGGGGCTGGACGACGCCAGGGGGAGCCCATCATGCTGCTGTTTGTTGCTCTCGCTATTACCGTCGGAGGGGGGGGCGGGGGCGGTTCATCTCTGGTCCACTCCTGCAGTCCGAGGTCCCGCGGGCGTAGACCGAAGTCGGAGAAAACGCCGGGATCGAATGCACTCGGGGCCGAGTGGCGAGGACACGGAGAGGACACGAGACCACTCCGAGTGCCGCATCGCCACAGGAATGCAGAAGGCATGGGCCGCGAAACACACAGGGCACAGGGGGGCACCCTTGATCTGGCAGGGGCGATCTACTAATCGGCCTCGACGGTACATCGTCCCGCCGCGGCTCCGCGGTGCTCTCGCCTTCCTCGACTCCCCCCAGGGGCCCCACAGGTCGAGCTTCCTCGGGATGCCGAGCCGCAGACGGCCAACAGACACGTCTGTCGTCGTGATTGTGTCCCCGACTCTCAGGGGGCCCTCGACGATTCGCCCCTGCACCTCTCCAGGAGAGCGTGCTGCTCACCGCCGGCCCAGGACCGGCGACACCGGAGCGCCGACTCAAGTCGCCGTGTGCCCTCGAGGGAGGGATCCGTCCGCGGCGGCGGAGGCACACGCCTCTGCATGCCGAGAAAGGACAACACAGCAAGGTCACCACAGATGTCGACGTCCTCAAACCCGTATCCTCGATCCTCGGACATCAACGTCGCAGGAGGGCCAAGTGAGGCATCAGCCGTCCTCCCGCCAGGGGAGGATGAGGATTCGGTCATGATGTGCGTGCTCACGAGCGTGAGATTGGCCCGAGCAGGAGAAGGAGAAGGAGAAGGACAAGGATGAAGAAAAGGAGGCGGATGGTAAATGACGGATCCTCCCCGGGGGTGAGGAGAACGAAGAGGAGAAGGGGGCGAGAGAAGGCATCTCGGTGCAAACGAGCGTCTGCCAGGAGGAAGGAGAAACGGAAGAGGGCGAAGAGGGGACGGAGGGAGCGAAGAGGAGCGAACGAGAAGGGGGAGAAAGGGGGGCGGGTAGGGGGTGGGATTGAGGGAGGGGGAGTGGGAGGGAGAGGGGTTTGGCGAGCAGGAGGAGGGCGAGGGGGGCGAGGGAGGAGGACTGGGGAGAGGGGGTGGGGCCAGAAGGCACCGCTCTACAGCTAACCTCCCCGGACCTCTCCAGGGGCGCGCTCGGGCCCCGAGAAGCCAGAGCAAACCCGGCCGCAGCGACGAGGGGAGGGCCGCGGCATGCTCCTCCTCCTCCTCCTCCTCCTTCTCCTCCTCCTCCTTCTCCTCCTCCTACTCCTCCTCCTCCTCCTCCCTCCCTCCCTCCCTCCCTCCCTCCCCCTCCCCCTCCCCCTCCCCCTCCTCCTCCTCCTCCTCCTCCTCCTCCTCCTCCTCCTCCTCCTCCTCTTACTCCTATGTCGGGGTGAGCAGTAGAGGAGAGGCGACGCCTCAGAAGGGCCCTCCCCCGGCAAAGATTGCAAATGCGTCCGTCGTCGTCGACCACCCCGCGCAGCGCTCGGAGGGGCGCAGCTGCGGAAAGCCTGGGAAATCTCCGAACACTGACGAAAGAACTTCGAACCTCGAATGTAGAGGTCAAGTGTCTAGAGAAAGAGCAAACTGAATAAACATCCGCTTTCGGAGGTCCGCGCGAATGTCTAGGATCTGCGCTGGACCCCCCTTTGGCGGCGCACCTTGCGCACCCCTGCTCTGCGCGCCAGGGGCAGCGCCAGAGGCGCCGATCCAAGAGATCCGCGCGGAACTCTGAAAGCTTATGTTTATATCGATGATTATTCCTCGACTGGCTCAGAGAGGCCCCCGCAGAACTCTGAAAGTTTATGATTATACAAATGGTTTTTCCTCGACTTTCTCAGCAGGCCCCCCCATTGCCGACGCCGGTATCGGGAGGAGGCGAGAGCAGGACGGATGAAGGTGGTGCTCCCGAAGGATCTGTAATACACCCCAAGGCAATACTGGGAAACCATTGAATTTTCCAGCGGGTTTATTGACGGATTGGGGCCCCAACAATAATGGGAGAATGATTATTCCCCCCGCAGAGGCCTCACATGCTTCTGCTGTGGACGACGAAGACAGGCTTCTGAGGAGGAGGTGGAGGAGGTGGAGGAGGAGGGAGGGCAAGGAGGAGGAGGAGGAGTAGAAGGAGGCACGAGTTCATATTCCCCGCCGAGAGCTGATGGGGGGGGGTCCTCAACAGTAAAGCCCCTTCGCGATTATCGGGAGGAGGCGGGCGCAGGACAGAGGAGAGCGGTGGAGGTCCTCCAAGGTCCTACTCCCCGACCCTCTCCCTGCCCCTCCTGCTCGCTTCTCCTCGCTCCCCCTCCTTCTCCTACCTCTCCCCCTCCCATCCCACTCCTCCTCCACCTCCTCCTCCTCCCCCATTCCTCTTCCTAAAAAAAAACTTCTTCCTGTCGCACCCCCGGGGCCGGTCGAAAGGGCGGGCCGGGCGTTTCGCCTGAGACGTCCTCACCATTTATGACCCTGGATCTATACCATTGGATGCAGCTTCACAGATAGAGTGCGGGGTCGTTTTTACAATGTAGCTCTCGCCTTAGCGCCGCGCACATTCTTCTTGAACACTTGCAAGAGCTTCACGGATTGAGGGCGGTTCCTTGTCAAAATGCGGGTCTCGCCTTAAACAATTACAAGAGTTTCACGGACTCCCACGATCAACGTACCAGAAATGGCGTTTTGGAAAGATTCAGGACTGTGAGGGTGCAACAATTACGTTGGTTCGTGTTGGAGTCCCAAGGATGTCGTTCTGGCACGGTTCAGGATCGTCAAGACGCAACAGTCGGGTTGATCCGTGGCGTTAGGGTCCCGAGAATAATGTTTTGGCATGCTTCAGGGTCTTCAAGCGGTTGTCTTCCAACGAAGCAGATCCCACAATGGCAATGAATCCTTGTAGGGGCCTATGAACAGGGAGCTTGGAGGGAGGGTTAATTCCAACATCGTTGATGACTCTTGGGTTTACAATGGTCCTCCTCCTCCTCCTCCAACTCCTCCTCTTCTTCCGCCTCCATTCCTTTTCCTCATAGATACCTTCCTCCTGTCGCACCCCGAGGCCATTTTTTAGGGCGGGCCGGGCGTTTCGCCTGAGACTTCCTCACAACTTATGACTCTGAAGCTTGAAAACTGGCAGCAGTTTCACAGATGGAGGGCGGGGGGGGGTCAAAATGTGGCTCTCGCCTTAGAGCCACGCAGACTCGTTCTGAACATTCGCAAAAGTTTCACGGATGGAGGATCACCCGTTTTCAAAATGTGGCTCTCGCCTTAGCGCCGCGCACATTCGTTTTACATATTAGCAAGAGCTTCATGGATTGAGGATAGCCCGTTTTCAAAATATGGCTCTCGCTTTAGCGCCGCGCACATTCGTTCATAACGTTTGCAAGAGTCTCACGGATTCCCACGATCAACGTACTAGAAAAGGTGTTTTGGAAGGATTCTTGATTTTTCGTGTGCAACAACTACTTTGCTTCGCGGTGTTTAGATCCCAAGAATGGCGTTCTGGCACGATCCGAATTCGTCAACACGCGACAGTCACGTTGATCCGCGGCGCTGGAATCCCGAAAACAATGTTTTGACATGCTTACGGGTCTTCAAACGGTTGTATTCCAACGAAGCAGATCCCTCAATGGAAATGAGCCGTTATAGGAGACTAGGAAGAGAGAGCTCGGAGGGAGGGTGTACTGTATTCCAACATCGTTGATGGCTCTTGGGTTTGCACTGGTCATCCTCCTCCTCCTCCTCCTCCTCCTCCTCCTCCTCCTTACCGCTCCACCTTCTCCTCTCCGGGAGGAGGAGGAGGCGAGGGCCGATGCCTCAGAAGGGCCCTCCCCCGCGGCGAGGCCGGTCTCGTCGACCCCCTTCGCCGCCGCCGCGTCGTCGTCGTCGTCGTCGTCGTCGCCGCCGCCGCGTCGTCGTCGTGGTCGTCGTCGTGGTCGTCGTCGTCGTCGTGGTCGTCGTCGTCGTCGTCGTGGCGTCGTAGTCGTCATCGTCGTCATCGTCGTCGTCGTTGTCTTCGTCGTCGCTCCACAGCGCGGCGGCCGAGGGCGCTCCTGCGAGCCCGACGCCCGCGGCAGCGCGCGGCGGGACGGCGAGGAACTGCCCGAGGAGCCGCCCGAGGAGCGCGGCGGCGGCGGCGGCGAGTCGGGCTGGCCGGGCAGGGCGGGCTCCTCGCCGAGTGCCCAGGCCCAGATCTCTCCAGCGTTCGTCGTCGTCGTCGCCATCGTAGCCGACGCCATCGCTGTCGCCATCGCCGTCGTCGCCGTCGTCGTCGCCAGGATAATGACGAGGCCCCCCGATAGCAGGACGAGAATGACGTCCACTACTTTCATCTTCACCATCAAGCTGTCCCATTGCATATTCGGCTCTGCATCTTGCCGCGCGGAGAGCGCTGAGCATCCGAGGTGTCCTCTGACCAGAATTTCGGGGCGAATCCAGCGGAAGCGACGGGGGCTTCGCAGAAGGCCCAAAACGAGGGAGAAGACGGGCGAAGGGTAGCAGTATGGGTACGCTTTCCTCCTCCGAGGGGGGAGGATCAGGAGGAGGAGCCGCCCTGCGAAGTGGGGCGGGGCGGGGCCGCCCTGCGAAGTGGGGCGGGGCGGGGCCGCCCTGCGAAGTGCGGGCGTCGGGGCCTCTGGCGGATCTCCTGGGGGTGCGGGCGCAGTCCAGTTCGGGCGGGCGCCTGGCCGGGGGACCCCAAGGGGGCGGCGAGAACGCAGCAGCAGGACCAGGCTCTTAGTGCGGCTGCAGAAGGCCGCAGAAGAATCGCCAACCACCCAGCGTTGAGATCCATCGAGCGAAGAGCAAAAAACGGGTCTCGCGCGACATGACGCGAGGACCTTCCGCGGTGGCTTATAGCGGGCTACTGGCGTGGCACGCCACGTTGGAAACGAGGGTGCTTGCGCGCAAACTTACGCGGGCAACTTACGCGCCAATGTCGGTAAAACACGGCACCGTGTGTCTGCGTCGCTCAATGAACGGCGCGCACAGGGGGGCAGGGGGAGGGGGGAAGGCTTCTTAGAGGGAGGCCGCTTCTAAGAAATCACCGGCCCTCCATCTACAGACAAGGCCCGCGCCTGCTAGGGAGCAGGGGTGCTTCCGTGAAGCCTTTGCCCCCTCACCCTAACCCCCTCTGCGCATGGCCGAACCAACGGTTCACAAACTGATCCGCTGATGCAGTCAAGCGCTGTAGAAGCTTGTTACAAGCGACTCCAAGCTCAGCGCTGCGTGCCCGAGGGTAGTGCAGGTGGCGACATCCGGACCTTACCCCCACCGACCATCGATTCTCCTGAATCGATGGGAGGCGGGGATACAGTCAAAAGCCCTAACAAGGACGCGCGGTAAGGACGCAAGACCCTTGGAAATCGAAGTTGGGATTTTTGGGGGGCGGCGGACGACGAACACCTCAAGGACGCAAGAGCAAGGAAGAGCAAGGACGCAAGGGTACCCTGAGCAGAGTCGCGGGGCCTTATTTTGGGGGGCGGAAAGATACGGATACGTGTTGTCCCCGGACCTCTCTTGGGGTGCGTTCTGACCAGAATTTCGAGGCGAATCCAGCGGTGACAACGAGGATTCCCCAGGAGGACCAGGAAAGGCCGAAAACGAAGGGGGACAACACGTATCTGTATCGCTTTCTCCCCCGATTATTAGGGTTTTTGACTGCAGGGCTCGGACTTCGCCACGTGCTCCACGAATGACGAGCCCCAACCCCGCGCCGCCCCTCGACCTGCCCGACGCGTGGACTCGGCGGCGGCAGGCCTCGGACTCCGCCGCCGAGCCGAGGCCCCGGGCACGGATCTCTCCAGCGTTTCGCTCGCCATCGCTCGGACGTCCATTCCCTGTGCTTTTTTTCGATTCCGTGCGTGGTTTTTTCGCCAAGTGATCAAGGATGCTCCTCGATGGTCCTCGCCGAGGAAAAAATGCACACGTCCGAGCGATGCCAAGTTCGAGGCGTTCGGGCGCCTCCGCCTGTCCTCGGCGGCGATTTCTGGCCCACGGGTGCGTTCCATCAGCTGCGCCTCGTCGAGGGCGTTCCAGGGGTGCCCGGAGATCGTCCCTGGCAGCCGCCGGAGAGCCGAGCGACGGCCCGAAGACCCGGCTCTCCAGCGCACTGGCAAACTCAGGGCGCACATGTTTCAGTGTTCGGCCTCCTGGGGGCCCTCGCAGGGCACCAGAACCCTCAAGAAGAGTCCGTCTGTGAATCTGACTCTCGAGATGTTCAAGAGCCTCTTCCCCTTGGTCACATCACGACTCGCGCCGTCGCCGTCTTGGAACGAGCCAGTATCAGGCATTCCCAAAGGCATTCCCAGACGGCGGGATCCTTGCCGAGGTCCAAAGCCCAGATCTCCAACCGACCTGCCCGTCGAAAGAAGTGGGCAGAAGCATGAAGCAGGAAGGCGCTTGAGGTAGACCGGATCTCCGACCGCCCCGGAAGACGAAGGAAGAGGGAAGCCGCTCGACCCGCGAAGTAGGAAGGCACCCTGGAGTAGAGTGGAACTGGGTAGTCCGAAACTGCCTTTTTTCAACTCCAAGTGGGTACTGAAAAAAACCGGAGAGAAACTTTCCGATGTTCGGGCTCTGGGGGCCCTCGCCGGGCGCCGGGACCGTGAGTAAACGACTCAGGGCGAAAAGGCGGTCCTGAGAAATGGGTCGAGACGTCCTGGGGTTGACGGTGTCACAACATGACGTCGGAAGTCGCAGAGGTTGAGAACCAAATCTCCGACGAGCCTACTTCTCATCCAGGCGTTTCTTAAATGTGTTCGTGGTAAGACAGGGAGAGAGAGAGAGAGGGAGGGATAGGGAGAGAGAGAGAGAGAGAAACAAAAAAAGAGAGACACGGATTAGAGACAGGGGGAGAGAGATAGGGGGAGAGAGAGAGAGAGAGAGAGAGAAAGAGAGAGAGAGAGAGGGAACGAGAGAGAGAGAGAGAGACAGAGAACTTGCGACACCGATCAACCATGTATAAAGACATGTAAGGACAGACGCTGGGATCGATGTATATATATATATATATATATATATATATAGATCCCAGTGTCATGGAGGAGACAGAGCGGCGAAACAAATAACATTCTGGGTGTCGGGCAGAGTTGAGTGAAGTCGAGTAGAGAGAGAGAGAGAGAGGCAAAAAGAGAAAGAGAGAGTAGAAAAGGGTATATACTTAGTGAACAGAGCGCAGAGCAAGCTGAGAAACTATATACAGAAAGTATCATGCACGTACAACCGGGCAACCACACATTTAAGACTTTCTCTCTGGTGTGTCACACTCTTCTTCCTCCTCCTCCTCCTCCTCCTCCTCCTCCTCCTCCTCCTCCTCCTCCTCCTCCTCCTCCTCCTCCTCCTCCTCCCCTGGATCCCCTGGCTCGGGCAGTCCCGGGGGGAGGAGAACCGGCGGGTCGGGCGTCTTGCAGTCCCGGGGGGAGGAAAGGGGAAAGCCGGCGGGCGATGATGGGGACAACTACGACGACGGCTCGCGGAAAGACCTCCCTGGCACGGGGCTCCCTCGCCACACAGCGCTGGGCACCCTTGCGGCGAACGCATCCACATGCACGCCCTGGCGGTCTGGAATTCTGAGGCGCGATCCCGTGGATACGCTGTCGCATGGATACGTTCAGCGCGGGGTCACCGCCTGGACGCCTGGCCAACGCGAGCCGGACATCTTCTCCGCCCACGAATGGCATCCGAAGCATCCTCGCGGGACGAGCCCGAGTCCCAAACATCCGTGCGGCCATCATGGATCCCCCGCCGACTCACCCGACGGTGTGGTCGTCGCACCGCCTTTGGACCACCCGAGCTCCGTCGGCGTCGGGGCGCCGCTGGCAGCGTCCGCGCCGCCAGCCGCCGCCGCCGCGCCACCGCCTGGAGAACAAAAAAGGCCGAGGGCCCTCAAGGCGCGAGGACCACCGAGGCGCGAGGAACCGGGTGGAATCTACAGAGAGTCTTGGGCCCCAAGAGTGTCAAACACCACCACCTCCATTCCTCCGACCTCCTCTTCCCTCCCCTTCCTCTCCTCTTTCGTGGGAGAGGGAGGAGGAGGGAGGCGATGGTGGTGGTGGTGGTGGTGGTGGTGGTGGTGGTGGTGGTGGTGGTGGTGGTGGTGGTGGTATACTTTCTGGCCCCGTATGTGGTCCCCAAGAAAGTACACCACTACCACCTCCACTCCTCCACCCTCCTCTTCCCTCCCCTTCCTCTCCTCTCTCGTGGGGGAGGGAGGAGGCGAGGGAGCTGCTGGTGGTGGTGGTGGTGGTTGTGGTGGTGGTGGTGTTGGTGGTGGTGGTGGTGGTCGTGGTGGTGCTTGTGGTAGTTTTTTGGCCCCGTATATGGGCCCCAAGAATATAAACCACCACCACCTCCATTCCCCCTTCCTCCCCTTCCCTCCCCTTCCTCTCCTCTTACGTGGGAGAGGTAGGGGGCGAGGGAGGCGGTGGTGGTGGTGTTGGTGGTGGTCGTGGTGTCCCGCACGCGTACCAGCTGCTCCAGAGAGCAACTCGCCGTCGCTCGGTTTCGGTTTCGTGCGTGTTTTTTTGTTGCTAGATGGTCCAGGATGGTCCTCGATGGTTGTCGCCGAGAAAAAATGCACACGTCCGAGCGATGCCAAGGCAAGTGACTCCTTCATGACTTGAAGGCATCTGGGATATAAGCGGAAGCAGGAGCAAACGCAGGAGGAGAAAGAGGAGCTCCCCCGCGCAGGCCCCCGGGGCGGGGGGGGCGCCCAGAGAGGCCGGACGGCCACGGCCGTCTTTGGCCGACCGGCCGCCCCTGCCTCGGCTGTAGAAGGAGGGGCTGGTGCGAGGGCCGGGGCCCGATAAGTTCACGTTGGCCCAACACTAGCTCGAGGCCGTTGCGTCCCTCAGCACCTCGATCTCTCATACGGGCAGGCGCGACCAGAATCCCAAGAGCACCTACGACCCATGTCCCCTCGGGCCCGATGAGCCCCTCTGGGCACGACGACCCTCCCTTGCTGCGGCACGGGGGGGGAGGACTCGATGCTCGCTCGCTCTGGGGGGTGTCCATCAAGGGAGCCAAGGACACACAAATCAATACACACAAATAAAGTGATCCCCCATCTTTTCTCTCATTTTTTTTTTTTTTTGAGTTTTTGTCTTCCCTCCTACTTCCCATATTTTCCGGGGAATCGACGATGAATTGTGTCTGCGCGTTTTTTCCCTACTAAATGTACAGAGGCTGGGGGTACTTTCGTGGCCCCGCCCGCCATCCGCGTCCCCGTCCGCGGCGCTCCTCAGGGCGTCGTCGCCGGGTGCGGCGTCCCCCTCGGGGCCGCCCATCTTGGCGGGCGGCCCGGCGGCCAGCCGCCCGCCCCCCCCCCCCGCGGGGCCTCGAGCCGGGGAGGCTGCCACGCGCGCGCTCCTCTCGGCGGCGGGCGAGGGGGGAAATGAGAGGGAGGAGGCCTTCTCGGAAGGCGGCGGGCCTTCTCAGGAGCCCTCACGCCTTCCGAAAGGTTTTCGGCGTCTTCGGGGAGGGCTCAGGATGCCTCTCAAAGTCCGGGGGACCTCCGACCCTTCTGAGTCCGAGCCTTCTGAGAAGGCCTCCTCCTTCTCAACTCCCCACTTCCCTTCCTCGCTCGCCGCCGATCTTCCCCTGGCGCACCGCCGCGGGTCTGCTGAACGGGGCTGCCGCCCGAGCTTGTGGTAGAAGGGTCTGCAGCAACGCTTCCCCACCGCCGCAGCCAGTTTGCCATGGGCCACGCATTCTGCACTGAACACGCGCCGAGTCCAGGAACGAGAACATTGTCTGGGAGGCGCGCGCACGATCCCCTCGCCATCGCTCGGATGTCCATTCCCTGTGTTTTTTTTCGATTTCGTGCGTGGTTTCTTTCGCCAAATGATCGAGGATGCTCCTCGATGGTCCTCGCCAAAGAAAAAATGCACACGCCCGAGCGATGCCGGGTCCCTGGCGCCCGACTCAAAGCCTGTTGCATGGGGCTAAGGCCTGAGATTCTGGACCATGACCTTCCAGCGAGATTGGGGCTGTCACTTGGACGGCGAGAAGAGGCGGGTCTTACGCAATTCCATAGCGACCTTATGCCGCGGCATTCGCGGGCCACCAGCGTGGCAAACCGCGTGGAAAAAACCGGCGCTTGAGCGCGGCCGCACGCGGAAAACTCACGCGCGAATGTCCTCGCAGTCGACCACGTTCTCTCCCGTCGCCCGCCCGGCATTACGTACCCTGGTATCCCGACGGGGTTGCAATACTTCTTGCAGCAGCACAAGACCAGCCATGCTTCACTTTGCCTTGCTTCGAGTCGGCAGCTCTGCTCCACCTTGGATCTGGACACCGGCTTGACTTAAAGAAAGGTGGCGCTTGTAGTGGGAGCGAGACGCTCGTTTTGGCGATCGCCTGGGCCCCTGGAGGGCGGAGTGGGTGAGGCCACGGCCTCGCAGGAATGGACGACGGGCTGCGAGGGTACTCAGAGAGCCGGCGGCGAGAAGCAACCAGGGTGGAACTCGTGACAAGTAGCGTCTCCAAGCTCGTGACAAAGAGTGTCGCCACTTCGGGCTCCACAGCATTGACCAAAGAGAAAAGTGTTGTTGTGGATTCCCCCCCGTAGCGTCTGTTACGGGAGGGTGGGAGCGGCCCTCGCCGGGGGGAGTAACATGGCGGGCGCGGTCATACTAGCAATCGTAGTCACCCCTGTAAACGTCGCAGTAGCAGCAGCAGTAACAGCAACAGTAGCAGTAGCACCAGCAGAAACAGTAGTAGTTTTGGTGAGAATATTGGTCGCAGTGGTAGTAAGAGTAATGGGGGTGGTACTAGTGGTTGGAATATGTCAGCTACTACTCAAAATAATGGTAGTGACAATCGTCACAGAAGGAGTTGTAGTAGTAGCAGTCGATGTCGTAGTAGGAGTTGTCGTATGTCGTCGTAGCAGTAGTCGTGGCAGTAGTAGTGACAGTAATCATAGTAGTTGTAGGGTTGCACTTGGTCTTCGTGTCGCTACAAACCTCACCTTCGTGTACTCTTCTTTTGTATCAGGCCTAATAGAACTCCTACCAAGGGGAATTACGAAAACCGTAGTTTCAAACCTGGCCTTCGTGTCTTTCGCGCCAATGCTTACCGTCGTGCACTATTCGCTGTAGAGGCTGTAGATTGGATTCGTATTAGAAAGTGAACAAAAAACCGGCAGTGTTACACCTGTCCTTCGTGTCGACGTCGGATTTGGAGCAACCGCCACTGCCAGCCGCTTCATTTCGGCACAACGATTCCGGCGCGCACTTTACTAGGATCGTGGCCCTGGTCCAAGTGGGAGCGCTGCCGAAGGCCCACCGACGTCCAATTCCGGCACGCCGCTCACGAGGATCGTGTCCTGGCCCACCTGGGAGCGCTGCCGACGGCCCACCGATGAGCAATATCGAGGCACCCCTCACACGGATCGTAGACCTCGCCACATTTGGATCGCCGCCCGACGCTGAAGTTCGGCACACCTCTCACATGGATCGTGGCCCTGGCCCAATGTGGAGCGCTGCCGACGGCCCACCGACGCCCAATGCCGGAACACCCCTCACGAGGATCGTGGCCCTCTGGTCCACTTGAGAGTGGGTTTTCATAAGGACGTCGTTCTGGTTTTATTCGGGAAGGCATTTTGGTTTTATTCGTTTCTGGTTCGTGATGGTTAGGAGGGAGGAGGAGGAGGAGGAGGAGGAGGAGGAGGAGGAGGAGGAGGAGGAGGAGGAGGAGGAGGAGGAGGAGGAGGAGGAGGAGGAGGAGGAGGAGGAGGGGGAGGAGGAGGAGGAGGAGGAGGGGAGGAGGAGGGGGAGGAGGGAGGAGGAGGAGGAGGAGGAGGAGGAGGAGGAGGAGGAGGAGAGGAGGAGGAGGAGGAGGAGGAGGAGGAGGAGGAGGAGGAGGAGGAGGAGGAGGAGGAGGAGGAGGGGAGGAGGAGGAGGAGGAGGAGGAGGAGGAGGAGGAGGAGGGAGGAGGAGGAGGAGGAGGGGAGGAGGAGGAGGAGGGGGAGAGGGAGGAGGAGGAGGAGGAAGAGGAGGAGGAGGAGGAGGAGGGGGAGGAGGAGGAGGAGGAGGAAGAGGAGGAAGAGGAGGAGGAGGAGGAGGAGGAGGAGGAGGAGGAGGAGGAAGAGGAGGGGGAGGAGGAGGAGGAGGGAGGGGGAGGAGGAGGATGAGGAAGAGGAAAGCGAGCAGGAAAAGAGGAACGCTGTTTTCTCGTTTTCCACAATGGGTTTGCGAACCTCACCTTCGTGTACTATTGGCTCTATAGCCCCTGTATTGTTTTCTTACGAGCGAACGGCGAAATTGTGGGTTTCCGAACCCCTTCTTCGTGTACTATTAGAATCAGTGGGCTTCCGAACCTCATTTTCGTGTACGATTAGCTCTATAGCCCCCTGTATTGTTTTCCCATCAGCGAATGGCGAAATTGTGGGTTTCCGAACTCCTGCTTCGTGTACGATTAAACTCCGACTGTTCTATGTTATTCTATTTGGTTTCATCTGATTGTGTGGAACCGAACCCGAACCCGAACCCGAACCCGAACCCTTACCCTTACCCATTCACTCTCAGTAGACACGAAGGTACTGTTAATACTATTACTATTATTAGTACTACTATTATTACTACTACGACGACTACTACTTTTACTACTACTACGACTACTATTACTACTACTTCTACTACTACTACTACTACTACTACTACTACTACTACTACTACTACTACTACTACTACTACTACTACTACTACTACTACTACTACTACTACTACTACTACTACTACTACTACTACTACTACTACTACTACTACTACTACTACTACTACTACTACTACTACTACTGCTACTGCTACTACTACTACTACTACTACTACTACTACTACTACTACTACTACTACTACTACTACTACTACTACTACTACTACTACTACGACGACTACTACTAAGAGAAGTGCTAGTACTAGTAGGTGCCGTAGTCGTAAGTACGCAAGAAATAGCAATGGTCACAATAGTAGTAGTACAAATAAAAAACATAGTCGTCGCAGTAGACGTAGAAGTAGTTGTAGTAGTGGCCGTAGTCGTAGTCGTAGTCGTAGTCGTAGTAGTAGTAGCAGTAGTAGTAGTAGTAGTAGTAGTAGTAGTAGTAGTAGTAAGCGTAATCGTAATAGAAGTAGAGTAGGAAAGGTAGCACATGTAATAATAGTAGTACTCGTAGCAGCAGTAATGGTGGTAGCAGTAATAGAAGAAGACATCGTGGTAGTCGAAGTAGTAGTAGTAGTAGTAGTAGTAGTAGTAGTAGTAGTAGTAGTAATACTCTTAACCGTAATAGAAGTAGGGCGTAAGAGTAATCATCGTAAACATCATAATAACAGTAGAAGTGGTAGCAGTAGCACTAGTAGTAATAGTAGTAATAGTAGAAGTAGTAGTAGTAGTAGTAGTAGTAGTAGTAGTAGCAGTCGTAGTAGTAGTAGTAGTCAAAGTAGTAGTAGTAGTAGTAGTAGTAGTAGTAGTAGTAGTAGTAGTAGTAGTCGTAGTAGTAGTAGTAGTAGTAGTAGTAGTAGTAGTAGTAGTAGTAGTAGTAGTAGTAGTAGAGGTAGTCATAGTAGTAATCATAAAGATAGTGTCAAAATAACGATTGCAATCGTAGAAACAACAAGTCATACTAAAATGACAATAGGTGCACTGGTAGTCGGAATAATCGTGTCAATAGAAAGTTGCAGGAGGAGCACCGGAAGAGAAGCAGGAGGAGCTCCGGAGCAGTAGCAGGAGCTGCAGGAGCAGCAGGGACAGCAGCAACGACACAAGCTGCTTGCGAGCGGCACAGAAAGCTTGTGACCACCAAAGCATGCCTGCCAACACCAACCAACACGCCTGGGAACATACCGCCATGTCCGAGAGGGGGCCGACACCACCCACGCGTACGTTCGTGACCGTTACGGGGGGGGAGGCGACACCCCGTCACGGACGCTACGGGTTCAACAAGTGAAAAAACACTCTCAGGGCAGGCGCTCGAATCAGAAAAGGGAACCACAAAGATAGCCAGGCTATGACGTTCCATATGCAGGTCATGTCGCTGGGGAGGCAGACAGTAGGACCATCTCTCCCTCTAGCGGGTCATTCAAATTGACCAGGATGCTCACTGCTATGCAAGCACGGTGCGCTCAACAACAATAGCAGAACCAAAATCTATGGCTAAGAGAATGCGTCCCATCCGCCCTCCATCCTGGGTAAACATTTGTTCCATAAGGCTCGCCAGGATGG